GGGGGGGGGGGGGGGGGGGGGGGGGGGGGGGGGGGGGGGGGGGGGGGGGGGGCGTGGTTTGCGGTTTGGGTTTGGCTCGACCCACGGTATAAAATTGGCACGATTTGCGAGATGATTTTATCCGTTGCGTCCCCGTCATATGGAGCAACATGTTTTGTCTGGCATCACAAGCAACGGTGAACGGCCTTTTTCACAGGTTTCGCGGATGGTGGACAGTGCTTCTTTGTTTATCACCTTCGGGTGGATGTCGACTCAGGCGACCGTGTTCGTTCGCAAAAAGCCTGCCAATGTTGTCGCCTTCGTTGTACCTTGCCGGGTTGCTGAAGGCGAAGTGAATTTTCTCTGATCCCACGACATCAAATATTTCTTTGCCCCCTCCCCGTTCTCTGCAAGTCTCGAAGCAACGTACATCATCATATATATTATGTCCTCCCAAGGCATGATCACATGTTGTCGTCTTACACCCCCATTCCTCCTTGACGGAAGCAGCGTGCCATCCGGGGACGCGGTCCAGCCACGACGGAGCGACCATATCACCCCAGAATCTCGAGTCCGGCCCGCCAAGGTGTGAAGCGTACCAAAGGAAATAATGTTTTCCCCCCCACGTTTAAGCCAAAAAGCTGGTCAGGACATAGATGCCTTATTTTGGAGACCTACCGAGACCGCTGTTGGAAATGGTATCTCTGCGTGTGTTCAGAACGATGTGAGCACGATTTTTGCGAGACTTCGGTAGATCTCGTTCGTTTTCGTCACTGCCTGTTAGTTCGAGTCGCAGCGCAAGAAGTTTCTCGGGGACAACGGAAACTCCATGTGCACAAGCAGAGATACCGGACTACACGCGAAACATGACCTGAACGCTGAATCTACCGGCACTTTCTCGTAAGCTTGTTCCTTCTTTACTTTAGTCCCGCTAGACCGCGTCCAAGCAGCGCCAGCACGAGAGTTCCCATACACACACCGTTCACATCGCCTTTCTCCCTCCTCGGCTTCCCCCTATTCCTTTCCCACCGCAATACCCAGCAATCCACCCAGGGACCCCACCTCCCCACCACCAAAAGCCAGATTTCGCCCGCCACGCTTACACCGTCATCCTGTCTCTCGGAGGACGAAGAGGGGCGAAGGTTCGCGTTCGGCCTTGGTGCTGCAGCAGCTGCCGCGGGCCGTCGGCCGGCACCCGCCGCCGCCGCCGCCGCCGCCGCTGAGGCGGCGTCTCCAGCGGTCGGGAGCCAGGCCAGCGGCATCGGCCTGAGCGGCGGAATCCTGGGGCACGCCCGAACCGGCGACGAATCCGCCGCCGCAGGGCGGGGCGATCGTCTGACGGTGCTGTCGCTGGAGCTTCACGTGCAGGTGCCGGCCAGCCGGCGGCCGGACCCTCGCCGGGACTGTGTGCACGCCGTCTGCTGGAGGGTGAAGGACGCGTTCACTTCCGCGGAGCGCGAGACGGTGGAAACGACGTCGGGGGTTATCGTGCTCCCGCTGGCAGCGCGCGGGGTGGCGGTGCCCGCTGCTGCTGCCGGGAGCGGTGGGGGCGACCGCAACGGAGGACACTCCGCCGAGGGGAGCCGGGAGGAAGAGGCCTGTCTCAAGTGCGGCGAACGGCGAGACGATGTTAACAGGGCGTTCTGCTGCTTCGAAGGCGGAGGGTTTCTGGGGCAAGGGATCGCGAGTGGCGGTGGGACGGAAGTGGAGACGGGAAGGGCCACGTTCCGTCACGGCTTGGGGAAGGACGTAGAGGTGCTGGAGGTTTGCAGTGAGGAGCAGGTGTTCCGAGCTCTGGTCCGCGTCTTCTGTCGGCACGACCCGGATTTTGTGGCGGGGTGGGAGGTCCAGGGCGACTCTCTGGGATACGTAATCGAGCGGGGTTTGAACATGGTGAGCGAAGTGAATTTGAGTGTCGGCCTCGTCCTTGTGTGCGGCTTCCACATTTGTGTATGGCCGTCTTTTGTTACGTGAGCTTGCCGTGGCGTCGTTTCGAATTGTTTCGGGGAGGGACGAGGGGGGTCCTCACTTCTCGTGTGCTTTGTACGAGGGGGCGCCACCGAGCCAAGCTTCGGAGAGGGCGAGAACGCAGGAGGGAGGGGTGGCGGAGTTCGTGTGGCTTGTGTTTCGGTAGGGAAAGTTACCTGGCACCCACGGCGCAACCCACGGCTCTCATCCTTTCTTGCAAGTCGATCACACAATCTCGAGGAAACCAACCCCCCCCCCCCCCT